ATACCCCATTTTTGACTGCCCTTAAGACTTGGGCGCTACTGATTGATTATTCAATGGTGCAGGCTATGTTGTGCAAAGGTTCGATTTCTTTGGCAAGGAGAGAGAGTCAAATCCCAACTTGACACCCCATTTTTGGACTAAAACTATTTTGACTAAAGATTTTAGACCTTAAAACCCTCTCTTTCAAAATATTTTTGAAACAAAGCTCCTACAATGTTTTGAGGCTTGCATTTCGTTAAATGTTGCGCTTTTCGGTAAACCAAGCAAGGACAAAGTAGAAATGAATGAAAGAGAGGTGAACTCTTTGAAAAATATTTAAAACATCTTGTTTAGGGTTTTGGAGTTGAAGAAAAGAAGAGGAGAGGGAAGAAACCTAGGTTGGGGAAGAAGATGAGCTTGAACCGTTAAGAGAGAGAGTCGGGCAGCCTTCGCTAAATTGGTCGTATCCATTTGTACACTTGGATTTCAGCTATGAGGCCACCACCATTGGAAAGTGGACTTCCAAGGCTTCATTTTACATTCAAGAATCTCCTCAAGCTGAGGCCAGATGAGGGAGATATGGCTGGTTGAAGTTAGGCATCAATTCGGTTGGCCTAAAACTCAGTAGTCTTCACTAAAAGAGGGATATCTCTTAGCATATTTGAAGTTTTGATGTGAGGATGATACAATTGGAAAGAAGACTTCCGGGGCTTCAATTTAGGCTCAAGAATGACCTGAAAATGAGTCCAGATGAAGGAGTTATGCCTGATTGAAGTCAGGGCCAGAACCAGTTTTTGCTGTCGGCCTCTAGGGGAGTGTGCTGGCCACAAATGGAGGGTGCTGGCCATAGGTCGGCCAAAAGTGACCCTTGTCTGCCACCATTAGTAGCTGGTCAGCCAAAAATGTGGCCAGTCGGCCACATATGTCCAGAAAGCTCAGAATTTGTAGATATTTCTCTTCCAGATGTCCTACATTGCTCCAGATATTTCTATCCTGATATTTTCGACCAAGGCTTGTATTTTTGCTATATATGGAGGCCATATCTCTCATTTGGCAAGGTTAGAAAGTTTGGGAGCCTCTCTCTCTAAAATCTCTCTCTCTCTCTCTCTCTCTCTCTCTCTATAATCTTCTCTCTCTAGACTTCTCTCTCTTTTGCCTTCTGTGCATGCAAGAAGAGAAACACCTCTCATTTGCCTAGACATCCTGGATAAAAAGTGGTTCATCTTTGGGCTGAGGTTGCTTGAAGCTCTCTTGGAGCCTTTTTTGAGCTCTAAAATGGTGGTTTAAGGTCAGATTTGTGCCTATAGTGTGCTTTGCTTCAAAGGTTTAGAACTTACCCCATTTAAGCTTATTTTTCACACTTGTTTTGCCACATTTACAAACTATTTCTGACCTGGTTTTCAACTATAGAAACCTCTGTTTTTAAGGTTTAAAAATGGTGGTTTAGGCCCTTTTCGGAGTTAGGGGTGGTCCACCCTTATTGTAGCTTGCTTGCTAAGTTGTTGTGCCATCTTTCAAAGTTGTTTTAAATCAAAATTTTTGGCCTTTCTAACCACTGAAAATCAAAGAATTTTTAGTGGTAAAAACCATGTTTTGAGGTCCAAAATAGGAGGGGGTGGCCTCTCCTCCTCTGTTTTTAAGGTTTAAAAATGGTGGTTTAAGCCCTTTTCGGGGTTAGGGGTGGTCCACCCTTCTTGTAGCTTGCTTGCTAAGTTGTTGTGCCATCTTTCAAAGTTGTTTTAAATCAAAATTTTTGGCCTTTCTAACCACTGAAAATCAAAGAATTTTTAGTGGTAAAAACCATGTTTTGAGGTCCAAAATAGGAGGGGGTGGCCTCTCCTCCTTGTGTCTTGTTTGCATGAGTAGATAGCTTAACATGTGAGCATGTTTTTCTACCATTTTGTGACTTGATCTCAGCATGTTTTTGTTGCTTTTTTGACGTGCTTTAGCTCTATTTTGATCTGGTTTGGCCACTTGGGGCTTGCCTTGTATGCTTGTAGTGCAATTGTACTTGCTAGTTTAGTTTGTGCTATGTATTGGCCTCTCATTCTAGCTCTTTCTAGCCTACTTAAAGCATGTTTTAGAACTTCATTTAAGTTGTTTTAGGACTGTTTGTCCCTTATAAGCCTTGTATTGTATAGCTATAGTGCAAATGCCTTCATTAGCTTACTGTTTTAAGGCTTCTAACATGCTTTGCATGAGATGGTTGCATGCTATAGCATCATTTAACATGTAATTTCAGTGCATATATCTCTGCCACACTCTCACTTATTTCACTCTTTCATTGCTTTTGAGGGTTGTGTTTTGAGTCTTGCTTGCGAGCCAATATGTGAACATGTTTTTTTTGCTTTCTATGCTTCAATTCCAGCATGACTTAGCCATTATTTTGGCATGTTTTAGCTCTGTCCAGAGCTAGTTTGGTCATTTAAGCTTGATATTACATGCCTCTAGTGTAATGCTCTTCACTAGTTTAATGCTTTTGGCTCTTAACATGTTGTGCATGAGTTGCTTGCATGTTGTAATATTTTTTGGCATGCCATTTCAGCACTAAAAAGTCTGCAACCTCTCCCATTTCTTCATTTTTATATTTGTTTTGAGGATTGGTTAACCTTATGATTGTGTTTAAGCTTGAGATGAGCTTATGCTCAATGGCTTTAACCCTCTTTTGAGGGTTCCTCCTAGCCAAAGGCATGATTTCTCTCATGTCTTAAATCATCCTTTGGTTGACCCCTCTCTCATTAGAAGACTTTCACATTGGACTAAATCGGTTAAAGGATTAATCGGTAATGTAAAGTGTGTAAACAAAATGAGCAAAGTAAAACATGAACAAGATAAGCATTTGTGTTGCATTGCATGTGTTTGGATCGGACGTTAATCCAAACACAAGAAATTTGGGACGTTTCATACTCAAAGTGATGAAACGTGTCATGTTTCTTGGTCACCGACACCCTTGATCATACGTGATAGGGTGAAGGTTCTTCGAGTCTTGTTTGTGCATTCATTAACATTGTACAAGCTTGGCTCTTTGGCTATCATGCATTGAAAATGCTTGATTGGTGGCTTGAGAGCCAAGTGCCGCACTCATTTGAGCTTGAGAAATGATAAGAAGGGTGGCAGTCACATATTCCCTAAAAAATGCATTGCTTTGCCTCTGTTGTAGCAAAAACAGAAGCTTGGAAAAATGGGTGGCCGACCGGCCGCTTGCAGTAGCCGATCGGCCACCTGCAGTAGTCGATTGGGCACCAGTTCAAAGGTTGTCCAATGTGTTCATGTGTTGGAGCAGAGGCAATTTGGAAGTTTGTACAGTGTTCAGAGATCACAACAAAGTGCAAACAGAGGCATCCAAAGGCAACGCGGTGGATTTTCGGAAGGAAGCCAACCGAGCATGCATGTCCTCCCTCACCCTCGAGGCTATTGTAATTGCTTTATTAGCTAGTTTTAGTTAATTAATACATGTGTTGTAATTAATTAGCCTAATCTGTTTTGTAATATTTTAATATGCGCTAGTTATTCATTTGTGTTGTAATTAATTAGCTAGAATTGTTAATTAGTTGTGTAATTAGTTTAGCTTAGTGCAGCTTAGCTTATTTATTTGGACCCTCATTCGAGAGGGCGCAATGTTGTAATAAGGGTGTGTGCGTGTGTGCATGTCTTCCAACCCCACTTCTTTCTCCGTTTTACGTAACAGCTTTCGATGGTTAGTTTAGGGTCATGTTTTGATTAACATACCTTATGCTTGCATATTTGCATCATTCATTTGTCTTGCATGCACCGGGCTCGGTGCATCATTCAAACTGCATTGTATTTCAATACGCTTATTTGAATACGTGTTTTAAAGCATGTTATCAAATTGTTGCATTCATATTCCATCTTAGATAGCCGAGCCTATTTAATCGCATTATTGCATGTGTTGCATTAGGCATCTTGTATAGTTAGGATCATGCATATTTCTAACTAGCTTTTGTTTTGGTTCGGAGTATACTGTAAGTTTTACACTTTAGCATACTTGCATGAGTATGGGTGTTGCCATGATAGCATGCTTGCCATGAGGCTATGTGCTTATTTGATTAACTGCATGAATGCCTGTGGATGAAGGCTTGATTGCTTGAATTGGGACAATTCGATAAAATGTGAGTTTTAAGCCCACTTTGCGAAGTGGCAAATCATGTTTCAAGCCCATCATGTTTGATGGCAAATCCGTGCTTTAGCCCACTTGAGGGTGGCATTTTCAAACCATTTTCGAAAACAAACATGAGTTGTTTTGTTCTAATTCTTACAATCTTAGTCTATACTTGTGTGTGTGTCACATAGTAAAGTTAGATTAATAACCGGAATAAGAGCACATGTGTTTATAAAACAACATATCATGTTTAGTAGAGACAGATCTTTGATGGGGCGAGCGAGAGTGCTCATTTCAAGACCTTCACCTCTCGTACCTAAGCTCCCGAGTCGAGGCAACTTTGGTGATGACGAACACGTGGCCTTTGGCACGAGTCAGGGTTTCCTAAATTTCTCAAAAATAAAATATTTAGGTGGCGACTCTGTAATCTGGCAAAACAGTCCAGTTTTGCAATATTTGATTTAAAATCTGATTTTCCAAAATGATTTACTGGATTGGACTTTTTGGTGTTTATCAGTCTCGTATTGCACTTTGTGAGATTAGATTCAGAACCGTGATAGGAGTTTGAACTGTAGGAGACCAATTTGCGCCTCTTCGAAAGAGGGGTGCGTGAAGAAAGTCGAGTCTATAGTTGGCTGTTTATTTTGTAGGACTCGTTGAGGATGTTGGATAGCGAAGGGTTGTTATCGGTGGAGGAACAAAAACTTCTCGACTATGTATTTGACGATAGCAAAAATGAGATGTATTGTTTCATTTTGTACTTGTAAATTTTAAATGACAGTCCACTGTGAAATAACTATCGTTCTAAGGATCATTATTGCTTGTAGGGACATTGTTCTTTCCATGAATCTTCATGGATAGGCATGTGAAGTTGGTACTCGGCGTGACATGCGCATGCTAAAACCAGGGTCGTGGCTATCCGACACTGTAAGTGTTTGCTGCGCACATATGAATCTGTGTTTTTCATTTGAAGAACTCAGAAACCTTTCTAATCAACTTGCCTTGTGTCTTACATACAATGTTCCAGCCAATCAACTTGGTGGTGGTGCAATTGACTAATCGACAGAGGGATTTACACAATGACGGGAGGCACACTGATTGGTTCTTTCCCGTATATCTGTCGGTAAGTAAGTGTTTAAAGCTACGTTGTGTATTGTGTATGACATATTTTGACAAATGTTTCCGTCAATGACCTTTACGCATTACACATGCAGACTATGATTCTAAATAAAGATATGCAACCTCTGGACCATGAACATATCGTCACATCATTTTTCGGACATGACAGATACACTGGTGCGATTGATGCATGCCAGAGGGTAATATTAATGTTCATCCCGTTATATTAAAACGAAAATATGAAAGCCATTACATGTTTACATGGCCTCTAAACAAGGTCTGCCCTTGTGTTTGCGTGTAGATTTACATGCCTTTCAATTATAGAGGAGTGCATTGGTTATGCGTTAAAATTGATATGGTGGACCGTATAGCCTACCTATTTGACTCATTTCTATCCAACCAACCAAACAAAAGGAAGCTAAATGCGACACAAATTTTGGTATGTCCTTCTGGTGCATTTGTCAACACTACAACAAACTTGAACGTCCTGTACATAAACCAACTTCAACCTTGTGAAACAGGTTCAAACTATGCATGACTTGTTGTAACTACACTTTGGAAATGATTATGTTATAGACGTGCGTAGCTTCCATCTCCGCATGTTAGATGAGAGGCCAGTACAACAACTGGATGAGTAATCCACAATCCCTTCCTCACATTAATGTGTATCCTGAATGACTGTTTTAACGAACCTACTGACATTGATGACAAATGTAATGTGAAATTATTTTTGTAGCACGTTTGACTGTGGGATGTTCGTCATCAAATTCATGCAGCGACCTGATTTAAGCCCTGGTCCACACAAGGTACATTCTACCGCTTCATTTCCATTTGTCAATCAAATCCTTGTATGTCATGCAATTTTAACTGATTTGTCTTATGATCTTTCTATACAAAGTTCCATCCCTCTGTGCGTCATAAGTTGTTGGTTGACATCATTATGGATGTCAATAATGCAAAGATCGCAGAGTACCGGGAATGCCTTGATATCAGCAATGCCACAAGCTAGGCCAGTGATGGAAATGGGTTGCTAGTACGCCAGTAATTTGGGTGGCAATAGGACTTCAATAATTTTTTATTCTTTGATTTCAATGTAGATGTTAATTAGGGCTCCCCAGTATTGTTTTTGCTGGATGATGTAAAGATGGACTAACTGCAAAGTGAAAGTCAAATGTAAACATGGATCAAACATGTCGATGTGGCTACTGTCTTATTACTATTTTGTTTACGCATGTTTCTTGTTCGGATGAATACGATTGAAATAAATATAATTTACGACTGTTTTTTTTACTCATATTTTGAGGAATGTACTTGCTACCCAATTTCTCAGCATAACTTTGATGTCGCAACTGTAATAAAAAAACAATTTGAAATTTTTAAAAATAAATAAAAACTAATATAATTACAAAATATATACATAATTTGTACAAAAAATTTGTAGAGCACTGAAAAGATAAAATTAATAATTAGTTGTATTTTTTTATTTGTTAACAAAATGAATTTATAATTTAATTACAAAAAAGAAAAATTAATTTTCAGAAATGAAACCAACCACATTAGACGCATTCTTTTAGAAGCCATTTCTTGTGTTTTCAACTTATTTAATTATTTGTTAATTTTATGACATTTTCAGCAACTAACAGTACAACATATAAGAGTCTTGGAGACCAATTACTTTGATCGTTAAAACTGGAAATATTGTTTGAACTCACATTTACAGACTAATTTATGCTGTGTCGATGGTCGTGGCTGCAAGGTTGCCCTCAGAAGTAAAAAAGAAAAGAAAAGGATTTCAGCGACAAAATGTCCAAAATGGCAATAATGAATAGACTTTGACGGACAACATAAGTTCATTCGAAAATCGTTTACTTCTTCATACAAAAAATAAGCTACACAAAATTACGTAAACATCAACGCTGAATCTATAATTTTGCTCAACTTGAATCGGGTGTAATTAATTAGCCCTTATTTGTCAAAAGGACATTTTAGTTAATTTATGATATCTGTTAACAGCGTTAGTTGCGATACAACTTCGATGTAATTTGTTAAACCTCGTTTCATGGATTTCATTTTAGGGTACATGAAGTACTACTGCCACATCCTCCTCGTTGTTGCTTTGGTAACATGAAATGTCAGATCACCTGTACACTCAGATAACTCTTCATAAAAGCTGGTTACTGTTTTACACTTGCTCCTTAGTCATAATCATACTATCTTCCTTCTTCGTGTTGTTCTACGTATGAAGTTGGCGGAAATTGTAATTCCTTATTTCCATTGATGTGTTTCATATTCCAAGGAAATTGTTGTTAGTGTGAGTTGACATCAAAATGTTATGGATCCCAAGTACATTACCAAATAACTTACGAAATATATGAAATGGGTGTAGGGCCCACACACGTGTGATTTGTGTGAGTCGGACACCTACGTCACCGATTTGGTAATTTGTTTGGTAATTTATTTGAGTCCTTAACAGAACTCAATTATTTATGTAGTAGTCAAATTGTTACTCGTTTTATAGTACTACATAAGTATTTGAAGACTGCATATGAATGAAAAATCAATACTCTTTCTAGGTAATTTATATATCTGCCCATTAGCACATATGACTCCAGCCAAAACAAAAAATGCAACGTCTTACAGGGAAGGTTAAAAAAAAAAAAATTCTACATATTTGCTGCATCATCAGTAGCGTCTTCTAAAGAGTTGTCCGTACCGTCTGATTGACTGTCCTCATCCATTGTCTTATCAGAGTTCGCTTTGTCTGCCGCCAATTTCTCATCGGTCAGCCAATCAACGTTCTGCTTCACAGCGCCAACTTGCCACTTCAAACTTGACAACCGTGTGTCCACTTCATTTAGCCTTTCATAGATATCTTGCAACTGCTGCAATACAGGAGCAACATGAGCTTCAACAATAGCTTCAATCTTGTTCGAATCAGACATTTTGCAGGAATATGTGTATGGTTTATATTACTTACTACTTTTTCAAAGAAATGTACAGATTCATAATATTACACAACACTACGCTGTAAGTATTTATAAGATATGGTACATGCCTTGTATGTTTTCAGAAGACCTCATGCATTGTAACATATATTTTATTAATTTCTCCAACTGACCGAATTCATCTTGCACAAATTCGTTTCTTCTTGCATATACCAAGTCATCCGTTCAGTACCCCTGATCGTCCATTATTTGGCATTTCCAACACACATGCATTGTACCTTCCATCAGTACTATCTCACTGTCATTGATTTCTACACCCACAGTTTATCATACATTCACATTCGTCATTTGTATTTGTGCCCTAACCCAACTTTTGGTCTACCCCAACCCAATTACATGTCTACTCATCCATAAAAGCTTAGCAAAATTCCTCTTATTAAATACATATGCCTTTCCAACTAGACCGTACCTATTAAATGAAATATTCAAATTAATTCATTTGCTTTTACTCAGTTTGGGTAGGTGTTTCCACCAAACAACAATAACAGTATTCACATGTTTAAACCACAACTAAAGCAGTATGTGTTTTCACCTGCCACCAAGGTATTAATGACTACGGGTTTAAGGTAATTTAACATTTACAACCAACCACTATTCAAGTTTACAGCCAGTGTTGTTTCCTTTGCATTTGGGTTTGTTTCTACATCCATATATTCTTCGTGAACCTGCGAAAACAAAGTTGGACTCAATCAAGAATCGTCACACCTATGGATGCACACCACGGTCAACGCGGTCATGGATAATCACTTGTAATGGATGACAGCTCCCAACTGAAGTCACCAGAATTGGATTATGCAGGTGGGTATATCGATTCCTTCGGTGATCGACGTTTCTTTGAAATAGGGTTCCCACTATGGAGTTTTGAACCTCTACGAGATTACAATTTCACCCCAATACAAGATGCTAGCCTGGGAAAGTATTTTGGAATTCCAGTTTCACTGTTTGCCAAACGAGTTTAGTGTGAACACCACTGTCAATGTGTTTTTCTCAAGGTTACTAAAGCCCGATTGGTTGAAATGCAGTGGCAATTCCCTCATGTCAGCGACTCCCAAGTTAGGCATCGTTTACAAAGTGAGATTGATCAAATGACTCATCGACTCATTAGGCACTCACGCATAGAGGACGCAAAGGCAGAGTTGAAGATACATGGATCAAACTCGGCATCTGCGATCAAGGCTATAATGAAGGATCCTGCACTAGTGTCGGACCTTGACCTTTCAAAGTACTCAGACTCCAGGGTTGTTGATTTGAGCAAGGATTAGGAGACCTGGAGATGTGTATGACATAGTAAGTGTAGTGTTGTAAGTGTTTTAGGTCTGTTGTGTATTGTAGATGACATATTTTCAGAAATCTTTGGCTGACTGACCTTTATACACCAAACATGCAGACTTTGATACTAAATAAAAAAACTCAACCTCTGAACCATGAAAATATCGTCAAATCATATTTTGGACATGACAAATGTAATGGTGTGCTTGATGCATGTGAGAAGGTAATATGGATGTCCATCCCATTGAAGCGAGTAGATTTAATATGAATGTCGATCCCATTTACATGAATGTAAATGTAAATATGAAAGTGTGTAGATGTTCGCATGCCCTCTAAACAATGTATTCACTTGTGTTTATGTATACATTTACATGCCTTTCAATTAGAGAGGAGTACATTGGTTGTGCGTACAAATAGATATGGTAGACCGTGTGACATACCTATTTGACTCATTGGCATCCGCCACAATGGACACCAACAAGCTGAATGCGGCAAAAATGTTGGTATGTCGTGCTGAATTTCACAAATCTACTTCCACACTATGACATCCTTCACATAAACCAACCGTCTCCTTCTGCAATAGGTTCAAATAATGCATGCCTTACTGCAACTACAGTTTGGAAATGAATATGCTCAAAACGTGCATACCTTTAATGTCCGCATGTTAGAAAAAAGGCCATTACAATAGCTGGACGAGTAATCCACAAACCCTGTGTCACATTTACTTGACTCCTGAATGAATCATTTAACGAACCTGCTTATATTTATGAGAAACTTAATGTTACATTTCATTTGTAGCACTTTCAACTATGAGATGTTTGTGATCAAGTACATGTAGCGGCCTGATATACCCAGCGGTCTACACAAGGTACATTCTACTGCTTCATTTCCAATTGCGAAATAAATCCGTTTATTTCCTACCACTGTAACTGCACCTGATTTCTGTTATTTGCTTTCTCTACATAGTTTCATCCTTCTGTGCGTCGGAAGTTGGTGCTTGACTTCGTTATGAATGTGAATAATTCAAAGATCGGCGAGTATCTTTCGTGCATGTAATTGATTG